CCCCCACCCCACCCCACACACACACACAAAACGACCTACAAACAAACAAAAACAAACAAAACCCTCCACCACACACACATCAAGGTAAATGCACGGCAAACCAGGGGAAAAAACGAACTGAAATATATACTAAATTGAACACAACTTCTTGGAGGGTACTGAATGAACATACAAAAAAGACAAGACTGCACTAAAATAAAGATCAGTGAAAAACACGATAAAGTTTCGCCAAACACAAAAGCAAATTTGGTGGTTCCGTTGGTGAAAACAGTCCAGCGGGCTTTTATTATCGAAAAAAAAATAGTAGCGGTGATCGTTAAAAAAACTGTTGAAGATTCCATGCCGCGCGGCAATCTCTGACTGAATATTGACGCCATTGTCACTATTCTTAGTACCGGGGATTCATTTTGTTCAAAACAAACTAAGATTTACAAAATGGGGCGTCGTATGTCCTGCTTCATATCTAAACTGTCAGAAACACATCATTCTAGATTATTTTACGGTTTGGAAGAGGAGAAGCTTGTGGTTTCAACGATACTCAACATGATAGGGTCACCTGGAGACACGTTGTTATCATTACCGTCTAATTATGGGCTCATTTGGAGCTCATTTTATGAAAAAAATGGGCCCTACTTTGAGGAAGGTACCCTAAAGGAAATGACCATAAAACAATTTTTAAAAGATATTTTCTAATGGAGGTCAGGGGGTATCGGTTCCTAACATATTCAGGTACCCGAAAATGTAAAAAGTTGAAAATCGATATTTTGACCCAAACATCGTATTTTGAAGATCCGCGCCTTCCCTTAAGTGGCATCAGAGTACGCCATAGGGTAGCTCAAGCAAAGGTGTGTCTCAGTGTAATGGGCAAGAAGGATCATCCACTTTACAAAGCACTTCATGACAACAATTCAGAATCAAAAGAGGAAAATTTTGGATGGCGGAAGCAGAGGATTGGGGAAAATATGTGTACCTGAGACTGAGAGCCTACCACTAGACGAAGAATGGGAACAGGCGGCAGGAGAATACAGGGACCTCACCAAGGTAAAAATAAGCATGGGCAGAGACAGAAGAAATGTTGCGGCTTCCATCAACGAGAGCGATATCAACCAGATTGTTGACACAAACTCAAAAGCAAAGGATCCTGTAATTTATACAGATGGTTCAGGGAAAAGGGATAGCCAGCGAAGTGGATGGGGATTTGTTGCATTCGCCAACAATAAAATCGTACACAGTGCATCTGGAGCCTACAGCATGGCTACATCAAGTATGCCAATGGAACTTGAAGCCATCACGAAAGCACTTGATTTGATGACCCAAGATCGCCCCCACACAACCCATGCTGTTCTTATCACTGATTCCATGTGTACCCTTAGAAGGATCGAAAAAGGTTTCCTGAGAACAGAATGGATTCAGACTATCGAAGCAACGCCTATACGATCGCTGACATGGATTTTCTGCCCTGGCAATGCAAGTGTTAGGGGAAATGAAAAGGCCGACAGACTGGCTGGTGAGGCCACCTCAGTTGACAACGCGGTTCAACCAGATAGGGTCGAGGTCCTGAAATGTCTCTCTCGGCAGCTTATTGAGGAGGAAGATAGGGAGGAAGAGGCCAGTACTGCCATGGAGGGGATGATGCTTTTGGGAATACAAAAAGGAAGCGGAAAATCTTTGCAGGAAAGAACAGAAGAACGGTTAACCAAATGTGCACTGACACAATCAGTGGAAAGACCTTCGGCGACATTTTGGAGAGAGCAACGGAGCATCCATGGATGTCCGGAGTGCAGGATGTTGCTTCCTAAAACAATGAACAATAAATAAGGTGCCATTTTATCAAGTGTCGTAACTGAGTTGAAAATGATGGTCAGTTGGTCACCATAAAGTTATTTAAAAACTTAGGCTAAATAGAGGGGGGGGGGATATCATTCAAAACAACAACAACAAAAAAACCCGATGTTTTCTGCTGTTAATAAATGATACGTTTGACGATGTTAGTAGCGATAATAAAAGCGATATGAAGATCTTTTTTGGCATCTTATTTTACTGCTGTTGCTTATGTGGCGGCAGTTGCTGTTGCTGCCCCTACTACGGATGCTTCTGCTCTTATACAACACTATTGTTGCTGCTATTTTCACCGAAGCTACGAGTGAAGTCTTTTTCAATAACAACACTGGGGAATGATTCCGAACAACAGTGGGAGTACACCAGGGTTGTCTTCTCTCTCCCACTCTTTTCAACATTTTCTTGGAGAGGATCATGACAGATGCACTTGAAGATCATGAAGGAACAGGCAGTATTGGGGGGCAGAACGATTAATAACTTACGTTTTGCAAACGACATAGACGGCTTTGTGGGGCAAGAACAAGAACTACTCGGCTTAATAGACCGTCTTGAAAAGACCTCCACAGCCTACAGCATGGAAATCAACGCAGGGAAGACCAAACTTATGTCTAACAGCAGTAAGAACATCACAGTGGACATCCAGGTCAACAACCAGAGGCTTGAGACGGTAAGCAGCTTCAAATACCTGGGTGCACTAGTGGCAGAAGAAGGATCAAAACCAGAAATAATCTCCAGAATAGCGCAAATTTCAGCAGCAATAACAAAGAGTAAGTTGAAAACCATCTGGAACGACATGAATATCACCATCAGATCAAAGATCAGACTGATGCCTTCCCTGGTCATGCCAATACTTCTGTGTGCATGTGAATCCTGGACCTTAAATGCAGACATTGAAAGAAGGATCAAAGCTGTGGAGATGAGATGCTTCTGAAAAATCCTTGGTATCTCATACAAAGATCACATCACAAATGATGACGTCAAACAACGGATCAAAAATTAAATTGGACCATATGCTGACCTTCTCACTCTGGTCAGGAAACGCAAACCGCAATGGTATGGACACATCACTCGTTCATCCGGCCTTGCCAAAATGATCCTATGAGGTAGCGTCCACGGAAAAAGGAGCATAGGCAGACCGAAGAAGAGTTGGGAGGACAACATAAAGGAACGGACAGGCCTGGAACTCAAAGACACGCTCAGGAAAGCTGAAGACCGGAAGAAGTGGAGGAAGCTGGTGGCCAAATCTTCAAAAGGATGATGATGATGATGATGATGATGATGATGATGATGATGATGATGATGATGATGATGATGATGATGATGATGATGATGATGATGAACTGTGTCATTAGCCTTTACCCCGATTTTAGTGTGTCGTCTACTGAACAGCAGGCTATCCCGAGGGGACAGGACACAAAAGGCCTAGATCTTCCTCATTTTCAACTCCTCTCAAGTGGTAATCAAACGTAGAAGCTGAAATACTATGTCATTAGTGTCCCAGCAATAATAATTATCAAAGGTACAGTGTATACCGAAATTGGGTAATGCTACAATGCTTGCTCATTATGCACATAATTGAAAATTACAAAGTTAAAGGGTGGACCAGGTTTTCGGGTGTTAACAAGATGAAGTTCGATTCTTTAGGTCTATGCATGGCGACAGATGTGTTTTGGAGTGGACCATGGACGGGGGTGTGGGGTGTGTG